GGATGAAAGATGGAAGTTTTGTGGTTACAAAGTCGTTTTAACTTCTAACTTTGAAACTTTTTTTGTGTGTTTAGAATATTTCATTCTGTGTTATTGCTTAAATTGTATGCATGGAAAACAAAATGTTCTTTGGAATAATTATGCCAATCCCAATGAATGAATTTGCTATTAGCATATTTATTTTTAAAATATAGATCTTGAAAATCTTTGGCCATCATGCGAAATAGATTTTCTAAAACATCTATCTTGTCCCTCGTGTAAGGTGACCAGCTCTTTAGAGAACCAATGTGAGACATAGGCAAACCAGACCAAAAAAATTATATAGATATAATTTATAATCAATAATTTTACATGTGTTACTACTTTAACATAAAAATGTGAATAGATGTTTTCTTGAAATTATATCTTACTTTGATTATTTACTTTCTTGCAACATAAATGCTACCGTATCAGCAGAACAACCATAGGACTAATTAAGAGACAATTAGTAGAAACTAATACACTAATTAAGCCCAATCTGTGTGAAAAATGTTCTATTTTTTCTATCATCTGTTACAATTAATTGTAACTCTTTTGAACTATTTATTGGCTATGCAAATTTTGTTGGTTATACTATTGTGTAGTCTTAAGATATATACATACAAGACTTCTGAAAAGGAGACCTAAACACAACGGGACTGAGCACAATTATTTATATTAAATAGTTAACAACAATGCTGTTTCTTTCTGTTCTATGATGCAGTAGGATATTTTTACTTTTTTCCAGTGGTACTTCCCCGATTGGCCTGCAGTTGGGGGAGCATCCTTGTTTTCTTTTATGGAGTGGGAAAATGGAATACAGTCAAATGCAAAGCTCCTTTTGAGTTGCTGCTCTGCTCTTATCAAGTCCACATTAGACTGATTCCTGGGTCCGTCTACTGTGACGACATCAAGCTAAATTTCCTCTCAAAAAAAAGTGTTTGAGCATGAAATACTTAACGCAGCATTTCTTCATACTATCCTGTGAATAGCAGAGCGGCCATTTTCTGTGAGACAACATGCTAACACGCTGGATGCCCAGAAAATACTTCCACTGTGCTCTGAGCTTTCTCTCTGCTGGGTGAGGCGCGGTTCTAACCCCGTGTGCCTGCGCTCTGCTCCTGCACAGGCCTGCAGACCCCGCCCCGTCCCAGAGTTTCCATTAGGGGGCGCCAGTGTGCCCGTCACCGAGAGCGTCAGGGGAGCCGCAATCACAGCTCCTCTTGGCGAGTCTTGGTTGACCGTGGACCATACAGACGATTATGATCTGTAGTATTATGTGAAAGCAGGTATCTTTTACGATGTTCAGACTCTCAGTAACTTGCAATCTTATTTTCTTTAGTTCTTAAAATATCCTATGTGATGGTTACTACGATTATGCTTTTTTTTTAAAGATGAGAAAACACAAAACTGATCATTTGATTTCACCACAGCCACAGATTTCGTCAGAAAGCAGGGTTTCTCCTGCCTCCCAGTCCGGCGTCTTCACTGGCACTGAGTCTTCAGTTCGCTGCACTGTCTCTGCTGAGCTGTAATTAAACACGGTCATTGCTTTAATGTCTGTCTTTCCTGCTTCCTGGAAGGGACCCTACGTGGAGGCAGAAAAATGTCAGTATTGAAGAGAAGCAACGGGACAAGGGAGAAATGTCTGGGTTGAGTTGGTTGGGCGCAGACAGTCTGGTATTCTAATCCAGACTTTTAATGACCGTGTCTTCTTGGGAAAATTGTATAACCTATTTAGTAATAGTAATAATATTGAAAATAATATTTACCTTACAGGTAACAAATATATGAGAGAAAAAGTCAGCCACTGCATGTAAGGCTGTGAAGAGACTTTAAACCATCAATGGTGGCTTGTAGCTATGACCTCAGAGGTTCAAGAGCTTGTGCAGGAGCAGCCCTGGTAGGAAGGTTGTTTCCTTTCTTTAAACTTTGTTTTTGATTTATAACTTACGTATAGTAAAATGCACTAATGAGTATATATCTTGTTGTATTTTTAGGTATAGATGATACCGAGATCAATATATAGAACGTTTTCAGAATCTCAGAAATCTTGCTGTGCCTTCTCCCACTGCATAGCCCCAGGCCAAAGGTAACCACGAATCTATGGTCTCTGTTACTAGATATTTGCTTTGTCTGTTTTTGAATTTTATATAAGTGGCATCGTACATTAGGTAGCTCATATCTGTCCTTTAATCCAATATGTCTGTAACCAAGTCACTCTCCAATGAAAACTATGTAATTTCCGGTTAAAAAACACGTCTTTGTCAACACTTGTTTTGTAATTAGGCTTATTGTTTTCGATTTGCATTTCTTCAAGAAATAATTATGTTGAAAACATTTTTCAGGTGCTTATTAACCCTTTTGTGAAGACTCTGTTGAAGTCTTTCTCCATTTTTCTTTCTGCCCTTGTAATGGATTTTTAGAAATTCTTAATTTATTCAGGATATGAGTCTGACACTTCATTTTCTCGATTACTCCATGCGCTCTGTGGTTGTCTTTTCACTCTATTAGTGTTGTCTTTTGATGGTTGACGCTCTTAATCATAATATAGATCAATGTATCAATCTTTCCTACAATGGATGAGGATTTTGTGTGTCCTGTATATGAATCCTTTGCCTACCTTAAGGTCAAAAAGATACATTTATATGTACTCTTCTAGAATATTTATAGTTTTAGCTTTTACATTTAGGTCTATGATTTATCTCAAATTAATTTTTACGTAAAGTTGAGGGATGAGTCAAAGTTCTCTTTTGTTCCATATACATAGCCAATTGTCCAAGCTCCATTTGTTGAGAAGCATACTCCTTCCTCCAGTTCAGTTAACTGACACCATAATTGTGATCAGTTGATGGTATTTGGATGGGTCTGTTTCTGCACTCTCCATCAGCACACTATAGCTTTATAATAATTCTTGCTATTTGGAAATATAAGGCTTCTATTTGTATTCTTCTTTGAAATCTCCTTGGTTATTCCAAACCCCTGGCATTTGCATATCCAATTCGACTCAGCTTGTCCATTTCCACACAAAACTTGGCTGTAATTTTATTTGGATCACATAAGGTCTGTAAATCAATGTGAGAAAAACTAAAATGATAACACCATTGGGTGGTCCAGTCTATGAACATGGTCTATCCATTCATTTATATAAGTATTTTTAATTTGTGACGCATTTGTTGTTAATCATAGAGAAGTTGTTGGGGGGCGGTAAACTGGACAGGGCACAGAGAGTCTGGCTATCCTCTTGGTTGCTCTAGACACTGCCGATTACTCTGCATTTCTACACGGTCATCTTGTTTTTGACTCCAAGTCAAAAGGAAGCAGGCCTGTGAAGGGAAATGGCAGAGCTGGTGGTTTGGAGTTGTAGCGTGTGGGGGATGGAGGGAGTGAGGAGGTTTATTGTTTTATGAGGACCTTGACAGGCTTGGGACAACAAAGGCAGCAGACCCACCAGGATGGCACTTCTTGGGTCCACAGCCGGTGTGTTACCTCCGTCAGTCAGAAGAGGGAGCTCCGGGCTCTGCCCAATCTGTCTTCTCAGGAACCCTTGACTGAGGTTTCTTCTGAATGCTGAATCCCTGAAAGGGAACTCAGAGCTCTGTGCTTCCCCAGGAGAAAATGCCTTGAGACAAATAAAGTCTGTATGTGATTCTTCCCTTTGTACCCTTTTTGACCTTCACTCACTAGCTGTGTGACCTTGAGGCAGTTACTAAACCTTTTTGAGACTTAGTTTCCTGACCTGCAAAATAGCCATCACTTCGTGGTCCTACCGGAGGGATGCTTGTGAAGAGGACTAAATCCGGTTACGTACATCAGAGCTCGGCACACTGCCTGGATGGTAGCTGCTCATGGCAGGAACAGGCATAATAATGCACGTTCCCAAGGGGTTCAGCACAGACAGAAAGGCAGCCATGCTGTCAGGGGCCCAAAGAGCTCCTAGGAAATCTCCAATTTCCCAGTGTAAGCTCTGGGAACCTCAGCGCACTCTCTATCCCACCTGAATTTCCTTGTCTCCCCTGCTTCCCGGTTTCTCACTGGCCTGAGACTGGAGCTAATCCACTGCACCTGCCTTGGCCTTGGGTTTGGGGAGAGTGTGGCCTCGGAGATGCAGAGCAGCAGGAAAAGTGGGTACCATTTTCCAGGAATTCTGATGAACAGGACAAGGGGGCCCGGCTGCAGACTTGCATCTCTGGAAAAATAACAAACCCAGCTAGATGGCAGGGGTATAAAGCAGAGTTCTTTCTCCCTCTGGTGTCTGTGCCCTGGAAGGAGACAGAGACGCCGGTTCCCCGACATACTCATATGGCTTGGGTATCCCATGAAGAGTACCATAAAGGGATGCCACTTAGCAGTGTCCCAGAAGTGGCTGAGACTTGCCCTGTTTAGGCTTGCGGGGCACGGAAATGTTTTACAATCCTGTGGGGTTGAGGGGGAGCGGGGAGGCAGAGCATCCCGCAGATAGTAGGGATGAGCTCCGGGCAAACGCAAGAGCTGACATATTCCTCTGGACATCCTGAGAGCCATCAGATTGTAACTGTGGGGCCAGAGAGCGGGGCACAGGGTAGAAGCAGCAGCCCCATCCTCTGGGTCCAGAGCCCCTGCTTGTCTTTCCCATTTCAATTCCGTTTATATGGGGGCTCAGGCGGCATTTCTTCTCCTATACGGTGGAGGTCCCCTTCTCACCTCTTATCTTGTATATTCCGTGTGGTTCCCTTGGATTTTAAATTCCTTGAAGGCAGGGGCCAGAAACTATACTAGTTTGCAGGCACATTTACAAAGAACATTTTACAGGTGGTTTGCAATTTTTAATGTGGGTGGTTCTATAAATCAAGTTGAAATTAAAACAGCCATGTTGACTTTTGTTTCATAAATAATTTATTTCCAAGGTAAAGGTTTAAATAAATAAATAAATAAATAAATAAGTTAATTCATAAGTTAGTAAAAAATTTAAAGTCTGTAACTGTCCAGTGCAGTGTCTTAGCTGTCAGTCACGTCAAGAGCCTCTGCTGGTGAGGACGCCTGCAGTCACTGTCAGCATTGTCCCTTCTCCGAGGTGCAGGCTGGGAGATCCTCAGTTTTGGAGGTAATCTATGAGTCCGTTAAGGAAGGCCAAGCTTCTGAGCATTTCCGCTTGGACCACTGTCCAGGCACAGTGGCTGTACTTCTTGGCCTTCAGGTACTGCACGATCCTTCCGTAGTATTTCTTCAGGCGCAGAATGGTTGTGTTTCCCCAGGTGGAGCTTTCCTCCTCCATTATTTCCTCCAGGTTTGTCTCCAGACGGTCCATCTGCAGATGGACTTTCACAAGGAGGTTCTCAACGATGGTCTCATTCCAGCCAGTGCTAGCGAAATTTCTTCTGAAAATACGCAAGGTGTGCTGGAGCATCTCATAGATGACCAATGCGGCATCCTCCTTCTGAAACTGCTGTGCTTGCTCAATCTCCTCAGGGACCTGGAAGTTCATTGTGTCCTCGGGGCAACGTTGAGGGGCTCCATTCAACTGCCGCAGGAGCTTCTGACATGCTGAATTGCTGCTTCTTAGTTGGGACCGAAGCAAGTCATAGTTCACAGAAAGAGCCGTGGTGGAGACACACAGCAGGAGGGCCATTGGGAGGATCCACCTGTAGGTCATGATGAAGACAGGAACAGCGTTGCCTTTACTCCCTAGGAGCCCAAGTGGAGGCGGCAAGGGCTTGAGGTTGAATGTCCTTCTTCCATGAGTGTGGGCTATTTATACGGGATGGTCCTCCACCCTTTCTATTTCAGAGGAATTTCCCACTTTCACTTTTCCCTTTCTGTTTTCATATGTCATGAAATTATTAGTAGTCCCCAAAACTCTTTTTCTTTAAGCTCCTAACTGCTTGATTTTACATAGATTAAGGGAAAAGATATACAAACTCTGATGATTTCTATGGTTTGTAAAGTTTCAGTGAATTAGTAAATACCAAAGGAAAAAGGAAGCCAAATCGTTTAGGACTCTACTATTACAGGGTTCTTGCATTTGGCAAAGTAGTTTTGTATTTTTTTCTTTTAGTATTATGAGATTTTTAGGGGAGTTCTTGGTATGAGAATTTTCTTTTTCATAAGAATAGATTTAATTCCTGATTACACTATCACAAAACAATAAATATATGCAGTTTATGATTTTACAAAAGATACCTACTTTTTGTATCTAATATCGGATAATGTTCAACTAAGTTGATCTGAGTGTTTTGTAGGGCCTTAACCATTACAGCAAGATGCCACATAGCTTTCTCAGCCTTATTTATTGCTTTATTTGGCAATCTCAATAATCTAGAGTATAAATGAAAACTGGGGATGAAGCCATAGCTCGAAGAAGACAAAATGAGTGTTAAAAGCTCATGTGTGACCATTACTGAGGGCCAATGTGTTCTTACTTTGTACACATTTTTAGCATATCTAAATATCTGATTTTCCATTCCCATGCTAATAGATACCACATATTAGAAGGAGTTTTAGAAGGAAAATGGGAAGAAAAGAAATCAAGCAATGAGGGGATGTTCCCGTTGAGACAAATGATTCTGTCTCAATAGTTCTGAGGCCATTTTTTTTGTTAGAGTGTGGTAAGTGATTTTCATTAGAGAGGAATCAGTGAAAAATAAAATTATGATTTTTACCTCCTGTTTATAGAGGAAGGGAGACAAGTCATACATTTTTTAGAGGTTTCAATAGAAAAATAAGTTCTATTAATTATGATATTTAAAGTAATTATTTTCAGTTTTTAGAAAACTATGCATTATCTTTCGACCTGAATTTCCTGAATCCCCATGTGTGCAAGGAACTGCACTATGCGCTGCTGAAGATTGTAATCCCACTCTCCTGGATCATACAGTGAAGTAGGAGAGAAAAGCATGAATCAACGAAATACACAAAAGTAAAATGCAGCACTGACAAGCGGTCCAGAGGAGAGGTTCGTGGTCCTGTGGGTTCCCATGCTCTGGGGACATAATGTAGTGGGAGAGGTTAGAGAAGACTGCCCTCAGGGAGTGACACTGGAGGTGAAATCAGAAGGAAGGTCAGCTGGGAGTGCATGTGCAAAGATGTTTGGAGGGAGGATGCGTGGTAAGGGCAGAGGGCAGGACCGAAGGCCATTGCGACCCTGAAGTCAGAGAGTGGTCCGAGAGTGGTCTGAGATGAGGCCAGAGGGCAGGTGGGAGCCACAGAGCACAGGGATTGTGAGGCGTGTTAAGAAGGTTTTCTTTACCCTAAGAGCAGTGGAGGCCATGAAAGTGTTTTAGGCAAGGTGGAGTAGCTTCATTAGGTTTTGGGGAAAAAACACTTTCTCTACATTAAACGCAATAAATAATGGAGGGAGGGCAGATGGACGCAGGCAGAACAGTTGGGGGATTTACCAACATGTTAGACCAGGAGGCTAGTGGTGGAGGTGAACACACTCATTTATGTGAAACCTCTCATTTCCTGACAACATCAGGTTCAAACGCTTGAAGAAACTCTCCATCATTTTACAGCAGGCTGCATCAGTTCTGTTGGTTCTGATGATTTCCGTATACGCTTAATGCTGAGGACATTGCTTCTATTGCACCAGATTGAAGTAGAGGCTGAAAGAATCTGGCTAAATGTGGATTTATAAACCGGGAGCAACCCTGAGCTCCAGGTTTCCCGTCATCAATAGCTCTCCTGTCTTCTGACCTTTACAGTATGCTCCACCTATCTCCCCAATATCCCTCCATTCCTGTTCCTTCTTCGTTGGCTGTGTGTCATCTGCTCTCCCCAGAAGGACTATCTATTGGTGGTGTCAGAAGTTTTCCTGAAGAACGGCTTGTGCTTGAGCTGCACCGACACAATGCCTGCTGCGTGGGGCGGAGAGGAAGCAGCTTATCTTTCCTTCTAAATTAGGGGAGTGGGAAAGCTACCAGTGTCATTCTTTCAAATGAGAGAAGAGTATCGAGAGTTGAAATGATGGAGGAAACAATCCAAGAATATGAGGAGAAGATTCTGGCAAAGTGGCAGTGGTAACTGTGTGGATTTGGGTTTCCCTGAGTCCCCACACAAAAACAGACACTGTGACTAGATAGAAACCAAAACCCCACTTAACGTACAAAGTGGGTGACATGAACCACAAAACGCAAGCAGATGAGGACAAACCACCAATTGCCACAAGATCTGCTTGGTAGTATCCTGATGTGGAGAAAGCAGAGGAAAGCAATGGTCCTGAGAACCCCAAATAGCCGAGAGGTATTTACTGGAAAGCCATCCGGGCTAGCTTGAGAACAGCAGCTGAAGCTGGGGGTGATTTTGCCCAACGCAATAGCTGGTGAGTGTGAGGGGCCTCGGCAAGTTCTGAAAGCAGTGAACTGGTCTAGGATACAGGTAATTTTCAAACCAACCAGGCACAGCTCCCTTTGGGAAAGGGCCCTCCACTGAGGGGAAACTGCTAGAGGTGGAATCAAATTTGAGCAGGATAGAATCAACAGAGACAAGGAAAGAAGGCCAGACCAGTGGGGGGGACAACTCACCGAGCAAGCCACCATGTTCCTGAACACGTCACCAAAGCAACCGAAGAGGGAGCTCTGTCAGGTAGAAGAACCACTGAACGACTTCTAGAAGTCAGGAAAAATAAGCTCCTATAACATCGAACAGCAGCATAGGAGGAGGACTCAGTCTCACACAAAGTTAGTGTTAGAGGAAGGAGAGGAAGGAGCAGAATCAGATCTCCACAGATCGTGAGAATACACCAGGAACACAGTCAGCACAATACAGACCAACATTTTAACAAGGTGTTACCAAGGAGTTTGATAACATTAAGAAATGTTATTAAACAACATAAATCAGAATGAGATGAATTCAGAAATGAAGTAACATATGAAAGAAATGTTTAGAAATAAAAGAAAGAAACTCAATTTCACTGAAAAGTTCTAGTCATGAGAAATGAGAGGATTTGGGGAAATGTGGCACCAGAGAGGAGCTTCAAGCTAGAGAAATCTCAGCACCTGGAGCCACTTTACCACAGAGCAGGGTGTGGACGGAGGGGCATCATCTTCAGGAAATGGAGATGGGTCAACGTTATATAATCCATGTCACGTTACAGGGAGCTCGTTATAAGGTAAAATGACCAAAATCGAGAAGAAAATTTGGGTATTTTCAATATCACATTGGAGTAAGGAAGACCTTTCTCAACAAGATATAAAACCCTGGAACTAAAATAGAAAATAGTGATAAATATGAGCATAAACACCTCATGAATTTCAGGATGGCAAAAAATAAAGTCAAAGTAGAAGAGCAACATCAGAAACAGTGTCCACACACAACAAGAAAGGGATAATTGTCTTCGTGGAGAAACAGCCCCTAAAACTAATAGAAAACTATGCAATAGAAAACATTAAAATAGCCAGATAGCAGGACAAGACATATAAGGGCCAACAAAGATATGAGAACCTGCTGGATGTTGTTAAGAAATGGGAATCAAACTAACAACGAAGCAGCCAATTTTCCCTAAAAGGCTTTCCAAGGGCATGGACAAATAGTATTCTAATATATACTGAATGAACGCATAAACTTTTTAGAGAGTGGGGAAGATTGTATTTTCAAACGTGTCCAGAACAATATCCCATCCCACGTGATAATCTACAGTGTTCTTTGACTCTCGACCCATCAAGAGGTGGGGTCTGTGTCCCTCCTCTAGAATTGGGGCAGAATTCTGTGGTAGAAGCAATGTTGTGTAATTTCGGAGGCTGGGCCAAGAAAGAGAATGCAATGTCTACTCTGTGAGCTGGAACTCTTGCTCCTGAAGCTGTCCGCCACCATGTAAGGGGTCCAACTGCCCTGCACCTGCCAGGCTGTGAGAGAGCCCAACCCAGCTCGCAGGGAAAGACCACGTGGAACTTGGCTATATATTTCCAAGTTTTAAATTTCAAGCAATGAAATTATCCCTTTAACTTGCAATCCGACTGCTAGGAATTTACCTATGGATATTCCTGCTGAAGTATGTATATGCATGTACATATGTGTGTGTATATATTATACAGTATATGTTCTATCAACATTTATGAATGTTCAGTGTAGTAGTGTCATAGTAAAAAAGAGAAATTAAGTATCCATCAGTAGAGAATCAGTTCAGTAATAGTATGGAACACACAAAATGGAATACTGTATAGCCATTAAAAAGTAAGATCAGCAGATATGGACCTATACACCAGATATATTTATTCAAGAGAGTAATACACAAAATAATATATGGCATTATCATTTGTCTTATAAGGTGCTAGAAAAATATCCATATTAAATTTGGATACGTGCCTGTAATTTCTTCTCTGGGCACGTTCACTCGTGTATTGTCGGTAGTTCCCCTAGGGGAGAATGCTGAGCGTGAGGATGCAGCAAGGAGGAAAATCCTTTCCCTTTTCACTTTGTCCCTGTAGAACTGTTTGTACATGGGTTTTTCCCTATGATAAAAAGATAACTGGAAGATAGGATAATTAGTCATTTTCGTAAGTGAGTGCACTTTGTTTGAAAGAATTTAAGGTGTTACTAAAGTTTTAACCTTTCTTTTGTTTTATCCACATTCAAAATTTTTTCAATAATGAACATCTATTATTAGAAAATAAAAAGCACGCAGTTATTCAAAATCAGGACGTAAAATTGTACGTAAAATGCAGCTATGTAAAAATATGTAGAGAAAAAATTAATGAAAGGAAACATATCAACATTTTAATTGTGGTTATGTTGGACTTGCAAAACGAAAGGGTGATTTTTTTTTTCTTTATGTAGTTTTCCAATTTTCCACCAGTGAACATGTTCTTTAATTACAGATTAATCAACACTAAAAAAAGAGCCAATGAGCCCCCAGTCTTTCTGGTTATTCGGCTTCTTCTGTGGGTTTCACTTTCTCTTGCCTTTGACCTTTGCATGCGAGCT